TTTTTAATAATAATTAATAATAATTGTGATATGATAAAAAATATTCGAGCCTTTTTATAATAACAATTATTTTTTCAAAAAAAATGATGATAATAATAATAATTTGAAATTAGACAAATGAACTCGGGACGGCAAAAAAAAGAAAAAGGAAAAAAGAAAAGTTTTTCTTTTTGTTGTTGTTAAAGAAAAATTAATTTCCGGTAATAATTTTTTTTTCAAATTGTTATACTGTTTAATATTTTTACCAGATTTTCTTTTTCTTTCCCCCCTCCCCTTCCCCCTCCCCCCTGTTTTTGTTGCTATCTATGAAAAACACTTTTTTTTTTTTAATTATTATTTTTGATTATAAATAAACATTTGAAGAAAAAAAAAAAAAAAACCGGATTTAGGCGTTTTAAGGAAACGGGTTTGTTGTAGCCTTATGTAATAATTAAAAGTTATTATTATTATTATTATTATTATTATATATAATTTTTAGTGTTTATTTAAATTAAGGCATGTTTACAAAATAATAATAATAATAATAATAATAATAATAATAATAAGAGGGATATTTTGAGCGCGATATGGAAGAAGTACAATTCATTATATGATCTCAAAAAATAAATAAAAAATGGATGAAAACTACTACTACATAAGATAAATATGAAAATGAAAAGAAAATGTGTTAAAAAAGAAAAAAGTGTTTTTCTAATTTGTTCCCGAGTTTATAAAAAATCTCAATTAGAAAATTAAAAATATATATATATATATATATAAATATATATATGTATATGTTTTGCTTTAATTATAGTTGTAATAATAATAATAATAATGCTGCAATGTGAAATAAAATATTTAAAAAAATAAATCACGAAAACCAAAAAAATAAAATAAAAAATATAAATAATAATATAAATTGAAATAAATAATAATAATATGAAAATAATATGAAAATAATATATATATTGAATTTAAAATTCATAAAAAAAAAACTTTGTTTTTAATCATTATTATTATTATTTTTAAATAATTCCTTCCTTATTTACGTCCATTCATTAAATTCATTTTAAAAAAATTTTTTTTTTTTTTTTTAATAAGGATTTAAAGAAGATTTTATTTTTTCTTTTTTTTTATATAAATTAATTAATTTTATTAAATATTTATTTAAATTTTTTACAATAATAATAAAAATAATATATTTGAATACGTTGACGGATAACACGATAACGGTGATAAGAGAAACCGAATTTTTCCGGAAAGAAAATTGAAGGAAAACTATTGAAAACTCATGAAATGCTTGTAAAATATTTAAAAAAAACAACCTTTTAAGTATAAATATA